CGTCTCTCCTCTGCAGAGAAGTGATGAAGGATGACCCTGGAGCCAGTGGGGCCAAGAGAGTAAAGGACTACCTGTCTTCTGAGTACTCAGTGGCAAGGAGGGAGCACGTTGAGTCTCTCCCTTCACATGGTGAACTGATGAGAGTTACAGCATATGCCCCTGACATCTGGGCTTCTGCTATGGCAATGCTAGGGTCAGAGGGCTTGAAGTTCATCCTGAACGCTGCCACCGACACGCTGCCTAATAACTGTAACCTGGCAAGATGGCGAGGATCTGTCTCGGAGGAGTGCAGGCTGTGTGCCAGTAGACAGACCCTCCTTCACATATTAAACAACTGCAAGGTTGCTCTCCACCTGCGCCGCTACAACCATAGAGTCCTGCCAGTGGTAGCTGAGATGGTACAATCTCATCTACCAGAGGGTTACCAGCTCCTGGCCGATATCCCTGGAGCAAGTTACAACTTCCCCCACCACATCACAGCAACCACCCTCAGACCGGACCTAGGCATCTGCAGTGATCAGGAGATGGCTCTCCACCTTGTTGAGCTAACCATCTGCTACGAGACTGGTTTTGTTGAGGCTGAGCGCAGGAAGACTGCACGTTATGCAGAACATGTTGCCGAGGATAAAAAAAGCAGGCTACAAATCCATGTTGACACCTCTTCGAGTGGGGAGTAGGGGGGTTTGGAGGAAAGAGGGCTCTTAAGTCTGCATTCTATCGTGCCTGAGGCTTCTAGTAGGCAATGGAAAGCCTTCCTAACCAAACTCACAGCATCGGTGATGGAGAAGAGATTCAAGATCTTGTGTAAGAGGAACAGTGTAACCTAAGTCTGCACATCATGTATTAAGAATGCATCCTCAACCTAATCGACACTGTTAATGGTACTATAATTAACTCATATGTAGTTATTTCAAAGGCTGAGTTGTGACTCTACTGTGCAATGTTGTCGTCAGTTATTCAGTAAAACAGTGTCACTCTCACCCACCCATCTTATGTATGCCACAACACATGATGTTTTTCACCGAGAGAGGGAGAGAGAGGAAAAAAGGTAGTAAGGATAAGTTCTACAAGTTGGATTCAAATCCACCACCTCTTGCTTTCCACATGCTTATTAATAAAAGAGGCTAGTGATCACTCATAGATCTGGTTGGATTTAATTATAAGCCAACTGCATGAATAGCTAAGTAGTGTGCACAAGCTATTGCTACTATATAGTATTGCCTCAGTAATATAGCTGCAGTTCTGTGCTGAGTATTTTGCTTATGTTACCTAATACTGTTTAATCACATCCCTCCTGTATAGATGTCTTTAAAGTGTATATAAACACTTGGCGCAAGTGGAAGACTTGTGTACTACATAATAATTATTCTGACAATGAAATTATCTCGCTCTAATATTGGCAGACATCAGCGAGTAGCATTTGGAGCAGCGCTGAACTGGATCAAACGTTTGTCCCCCATGGTGCATAAAAACGTAAGTGTCGATGCCCACACAATAAGTTAAGGTACAATCTTACAATCCAATTATTATACAGTACTTTAGAGGAATCAATATTATATGTGTGGTTTTGCGTATATTTTAGACACATTGCGCTATGTGCCGGTTCAGAGGGATAAATGTAATAGAAAAACCTGCATCCATGACTAGATAGGGGCTCGCTTTGCTCTCCAATCTTATTGTTATTGGATGTGGGTACAATATCAATGTTGCTTTCAGGAGATCAAAATGTCTATTAGACATACACGAAAGAGCTATGATCCTAGAAAATCTAATACTAATCTAAATGTGGTGTCTGAACCATGGTAGCACCCAGTCACTTCTATTTCGGCAGTACTAAAATCAAACATTACATCAACTGCTCGATCAGCACTATCATCTACATCCTCTCTTATTTTCCGGAATGGTACCTTTAATTCACCAATTTTCCGCACATCAAGCCAGACTCCACCGTTTATAGCAAGTAAATGTGGCTTACCAGTTGTGTACCAAACATCCTTCTCCATAGAACTATATATCTGAACTCGCATAAATGTTTGGTCCCTTCTCTCAGGATAAAATGTTTTCATGTACACATAATCTGTGCAAACAACATCTCCTTTCTCTACAAATGTTGCAAAAATATCAGAACACATGTCTTTCTTCCCGGGAGCTCTGCATCTGTATTCCTCGTCATGGAGATCTTGGACAAATGGAATCCGCACTCTGACCCCATACGTAGCATCAACTAAACGTGCTTTAATAAATTTAGGCTTCCTCTTCATCATTGCAGCTCCCTTCACAACAGCATGTTCTTTCTCTCTTGGCGTGATAAACTTGTAGTTACCTTTGAAGTGACTTTTTAGCTCAGAGTGGATGTATTCGCAACCACCAAAGCCTCCAAATAGATATATTGTGTGGACATTTGGCACATCATTAAGAACATTTGCAACACATTGAATAATACCCTCAACGACAGGATCAAAGAAAAGTTTCAATGTACTGTAACTAATGCGAAGTTCATCAGTTTCTGAAGAAAAACTTGTATAATATGCTTTTTCTACAGCAGTATTGGTTTCCTTAGGTAACAGTTCATTCCCCTGTGCTCGCTCCCCATAAATGTGATGTGTAAAATGTGTATTGTGCTTTTGAGTGTTCCAGCCCGGATGAGTTGTTGCTAGGAGTTTCTCCACACTCAGGTATGTTTGCATCCAAGCGAGCTGTTGCTAGGAGTTTCTACATGCTCGGATTATGTGTGAACCTGAGGGAGTTGTCGCTAGGATCGATCTCCACGCTCAGGTATGTTTGCACCTGAGCGAGCTGTAGATCTCCACACTCGGGTTGATTGAGTGCATTTTCCATGTGATTTTCCGATGTAAAAGTGAATGAATGGTGAGCGAATGCAGTGAGAAACTCTGACTGGGTTGTTTAGGATAAAAGACAATTTTGAAAACAGTTCAAAGGTCATGCCACTGTGCTCGCTCTCCATGAACGTGATGTGGGTAAAATGGTTTTGTGTGTTCAAACCCGAGCGAGCTGTTGCTAAGATAGCTAAGATAACTCCACACTCGGGTTATGTGTGGACCTGAGTGAGTTGTTGCTAGGATCGATCTCCACACTCAGGTATGCCCTGTTAGCTCATTGGGCAAAGCACTCGGTGCCTAGACTGCAGATTGTAGTGGCTTTGAATCTCACCCAGGCCAGGGCAGCTCTTTTTTCAGAGTTGTCCTGGTGTTGTTTGCCTTCCTCTGCTGGTAATGTTGTTGACACATGTTCATGGCTACACTAGCACACTGCACACCCACTAAATTTCTTCTAATCTCACACCCACTGAATCCTTTAGCATTGCAACTTGACAAACCCCCAAAAAAGTCGGAATGGCTGATCTGATGAGTCCTCCCACTATAAAATATAAAGGACGACAACCATCTCTGGGATGCATGGTTCCCAACTTTTTTACCTGTAGCTATATCACAAACTTGTGTGGAAGTATACCCTTCCCTTTCAACTGCAAGGAGTGATTCCACCACCATGAGTATTGTCTTTGACACCCTCTCTGAAAACTTGTTTGGGTGAGCCTTCAGGGTTGACCCAGTTGTGCAATGTCGGAGAGTGTACTGTCAAGCATGCAGGGTTGACCTGGTCTTTAATCTAGTTCTTCCTAATCTACCACCAAAATCTCATTACCATCATATTCTTAGTGTAGCTGGTGGGGTGAGAAACGGGGATGCGCTCTAAAGCACTGAAGTGCAAACCCTCGGCGAACTGCGCATGCGCGGTATATTAGTATGCGTTACTCGCGGTCTCCCGCTAGTATAATTATAGCTCGCAGAGAGTCTGACACGGGCTAGCTACAGTAGTAGATTAGCATGCGAGAGTCGATACACGCCCTTCGTTGTGACTTCTTGTTACACAGAGCAAGCAGACCCGGTACGTCCTGTGCTAAATATAAGCGCATGCGCATTTTCCGGTTCCGCAGCGATAAAAATGGCCGACTACGCATTAGCCGTACAATGGTGGAAGCGCTCTAGCTTTGCAACGGAGCGTTTTCAGAGAAAACCGTTCGAAATTTCTGACCTTCATAGCCCGTTCGGTAGGTGGTATCCTTTGTGAGACGAAAGAAGATGAAGAGTAACAGACACACAGACAGACCCAACTACTGTAACCCTCGCTGCGCATGCGCGCCGAGGGTGAAGGAGAGTAGCCTATGGGTAGGCGATTGAGTGAGGGCAAGTTGATGGCGAAGACACGCTAGTTGGTCGCGAAGACACGATAGTTGGTCGCGGAGAGTCTGACACGGGCTAGCTAAACAAAAAGATAGCATGCCAATGCGGGAGCCGATACACGCCCTTCGTGGTGACTTCTTGTGCCTCCGGAAGGTACTAAGTAAGAGCAAGCGGATCGGTTGAGGTCGAGGGGTCCGAAACGGGTGGAAATCTCGTACGCTTACGGTCAGAAATCCAGTTGGAAATCAGGGGAAATCAGTGATAAGTGGAAACAGAACCCAAGTTACCGTGCGCGCGCCGCTTTTCTACTCCGTATAGCTCCGTTCACTATAGTAAACTACAAGGCCGACCCTGCTGCGGCGCGCGCACACGCCGCTCCTGCCGGCCGGCCACACCGCGGCGCGTACCGCACGATCAATTGTGCGCACACAATACCACGCTCCGTGTTTTGCACAAATAGGGTAGGGCCTTGCTTGCTCATCCTTGGCCTATCATCTCGTACGTCATAACGGCCCATTTCGTACCCCTCGCTCGGTCGAGGTAAGCTGGTGCGCGATTAGCTATGCATATTGGCTTTTTCGACTGTTTTCACGGCATATCTCTCGAACGCAGTCGTTTCAGGAAAATCACCCGTTTACTTTTCCGGTTCGCGTAGTTCTGAAGACGTTGGTATCGCTCATGGGCCACCTCTAACCCTGTAGTGCGGAGAATAGCTGCCGACAAGACGCACACCCGTAACCCTCGCTGCGCGTGCGCACCGAGGGTTATAACATCGGGGACACCGTTTACACGTGCCCCCGCGCGCTTTGTGCGCGTTATAGGTTGCGAGCTCGATTCTACGCGGCGTAGACAATCCCAGCGATGTTGTTTCATATTGTGATCACACTGGGAGTCCTCGTCCAGGTCGGCGTATTTGCCACCGACGACCCAATTCTGGAGCGAGCTTCTAACGGCACCTCCGTAGCACTGCTCACCGTGGCCTACCTCCAGCAAACCACCATCTTCTCCGACGACAACGGGATGCTACGCCGAATCGCCTACGTAGAAACGAGGGACGGGGCCAGACTCAGCGGTAATATTTGGGCAGTGAGCGAGGAGGGGCTGCAATTGACGCAGGCCTCCGACCATCCGACTCTAAACGTCAAGCACAATCTCATTTCCCGAGAATTGGATATAGACTGGATCGCCGTGGATTGGGAGGAACTGCAGCGACCACTGTACTCTGCCGTGGCAGCTCGTCTACTCCTCTTCCTCGCTCCGGAACGACTGCCAGATGTGAGTGATATTGATGGTCAAGCTGCGTTTTGGAAAAAGTACTACAACACAAATGGATCAGTGAGTGAATTTACTGGAGCCTCTTTTGAATTGGAAGGTAAACCATAGCTATTGCACACACTGTTGATTATAATCCTAATTTAAAAATTGATGAAACATAACAGGACACAACTTTATGAATGTCAATGCATGTCCACAGGTTGTGTGACTAGGAACTTGACTATTCATTTCTTGTTAGAACTCTTAACTCATCGAAATAAAAACTTTATTAGCCAATGTTTCAATACCTAGCTATACAGGCATATACCATCATCAGGGCGAGAAGAAGGAAAGATGAGGTGACAGGAATACAGTGATGGAATGCATGGAATGGAATGGAATGCATGGAATGGAATGGAATGTGCAGACGACAATGAAAAATGGAATGCACATCTAGGTCATTAGACCTTAAGGCTTGTACACATGAGGCAGAATACCAGATTCTCTGTTCATCACATTGTTTGCTACTGAGTGTAGCTACCAGGATTCTAAATATAGAATTGGTCACTGTGATAGAGGATGTTGGCATTCTCCCAGTCTATTTCATGTCCATATCTGCATGTTCTGCTAATGGCGAAGCATTAGTATCACCATGAAAGACCGCTCTCTTGTGTTCCTTCATTCGATGGTGTAGTGAACGACCACTTTGGCCTATGTAAGATTGGAGACAATCTGATGGTCATGTGGGACAGGGTCTTTTGGTTTAATGTCGAAGAGTGGTATAGTGAGACCTTGATATCAAGCCTTGATAGAACTCGGCGTATGCTTTCTGAGATACCTTGGATGTAAGGTAATGAGATGAAAGCTGTTGGGTTCCTCTCGGTAGACTGATCAGGCTGATCTGGGATGTGTTGTCGTGGCCTGCTATGTTGTTTTATTATCTGGCATGAGTGCTTCGTTAACGACTAAACCCTCGGCGCGCATGCGCAGCGAGGGTTGGTTTGTCTCTGTCTGCCTACGCCTACGAGGCGGCTTATTAGCGATACCCGCGGCTTAAGAACTACGCGAGCCTGAAACTTAAAAAGGCGATTTTCCTAAAATGACTCAGTGCGTTCGAGAGATATGCCGTGAAAACAAGCGAAAATCGCACTGGGCTTACCGCGACCTGATCCGCTCGTTCTGCTTAGGCTCAATAAGTCACAACGAAGGGCGTGAATCGACTCCCGCATGCTAGCCCGTCACACACTCTCCGCGAGCTAACTAGCGTGGAGACCACGAGTAAACGCCATCAATTTTAGCGGTAACGAGCATGCGCAGTGCGCCGACGATTGTGGACATCAAGGTACGGTAGGGTATATGCCATCTGACTCTACCTCTAATGTGAATTGGATGTTTGGGTTGATACTATTTAGGTGGTCATGGAAACTGTGGACTGTGTCCGGGTGTATTACTGTGAGGGCATCGTCCACGTAGCTACCTCTTCCAAAACCTGGGTGGTCGCTCAAAAGTAGAAAGTGTTTGTTGCTCAATTTCTTCCATCACCAGGTTTGCAACCGCGACAGATACAGGGGATCCCATTGCTGTTCCAAAAGTTTTCTGGTATATCTGATACATCAGGTAAGTAGTCTTTAGGCAAAACTCAAGGAGCGTTGTAATGCTGTTGATAGTCAAGGTAGTTCTCTCTGATAGTGTGTTATCATCTTCAAGACGACGACGCACCACATCAATAGCTAGATCTGTGGGAATTTGGCTGAAAAGTGAAACAACATCAAAAGATAGTAGTATTTCACCGCTTCACTGGCCTAAGTCACCTGAGTTTTTTACCGCAGATGTTGAATGACCGACCAAAGGTGACAATAGAGCAGCAAGATGTTTCGATTGGTTGTAGGTGGGAGAACTGATGAAGGAAACGATCGGTCGTAACGGTATGTTGCATTTATGTATTTTCGGTGGTCCATACAATCGTGGGATTAAACCAGCAAGTGCTCCTTAGTTTCTCGTAAAGTTGTTTAGGGAGCTCATCCTTTCTGCACAAGGACAGGAGAGTTGAATTCATTTTCCGTTCAAGGGAAGGTGTTGGATCTTTGTTGATGGTACGGTAAGTTGTGGAGTCGTCCAACAATGCTTGAATTTTCCTGTCATATTCATTCCTGTCAAGGACAACTACAGCATGACCCTTGTTCGCTGGTATATAGCACCATTATGTCTCAATCTTGATTCAGTTGTTTTAGGGCTTTCCGCTCGTTGGAAGTGATTTTGGGTTGCAGAATCCTTGACCTTAGGAATAAACCAATTATCTGTAACCGTGCAGATTCAGCTAGCATTGTTTGTGTGACCTTACGGAGAGCTGACTTGACTTTCGAGACCATACTTGGAATTGGGATCTTATAAAGTTATTTGTGTTGGTGTAATAATTGCAAAATTCAAGCCTTTTGAGAGAACTGATACCAAGGTCAAGGATTTAGAGGATAGATCGACAACCCATTTCTCGGAAGGCTGCTGTCGTTTTTTGGGACCTGACCTGTCCAGAAGGGAATCAAATTTCTTTTTTATGCGTAACTTGGTCTTGCTTCTTTCCTGTTCGGCTGCTAGTGTTTGTAGGGCTCTGTAGTGGCATGATTGTAAAAAGTGTTGGAATTGCCTCTTTTGGGAATAGAAGTCATGCAATAAGGTTCTGAGTCTGCGATTATAATATTATCATTGATGCGAGCATTAAGAAACTGGAAGCTTGCCTTTTGAGCAATTTGTTCTCCTTCATATGTGTTGACAAGTGGCTGGATTCAAAGACTCTTGGGAATAAGGTGGTAGCGACGGCATCTGGTGTTGAAGGTAATATTTTCTTTCTGCCGTGCTATCTTCAGAGCCGTGTTGACATAATGGCGGGCACCCTTCATCGTATATAGCTTCTCCGTATTTTTTTACAAATATATAATCCCGTGTGACTAGGAACTGGACTATGTTAGAACTCTTAACTAAAAACTCATTCTCCCAGTCTATTTCATGTCCATATCTGCATGTTCTGCTAATGGCGAAGCATTAGTATCACCATGAAAGACTGCTCTCTTGTGTTCCTTCATTCGATGTTGTAGTGAACGACCACTTTGGCCTATGTAAAATTGGAGACAATCTGATGGTCATGTGGGACAGGGTCTTTTGGTTTAACTAACATCTGTCGAAGAGTGGTATAGTGAGACCTTGATATCAAGCCTTGATAGAACTCGGTGTATGCTTTCTGAGATACCTTGGATGTAAGGTAATGAGATGAAATCTGGGGAGTTCCTCTCGGTAGACTGATCAGGCTGATCTGGGATATGTTGTCGTGGCCTGCTGTGTTGTTTTATTATCCGCCGTGGATAGCATGAGTGCTTGGTTAACAACTAATTCTTCCATTTTTCGTTGCACCAGAGATGACGACAGGGTATATACAGGTACAGGCTCTGGTGAAGAGTGTACTTATCGCAGATATTTTGTGTTGTAGTGGATGGTGTGACAAAAAAACAAGGTATTTATCCGTGTGAAGAAGGAAAGATGAGGTGACAGAAGCCTCATGTGCACAAGGGTCTAATGACCTAGATGTGCATTCCATTCTTCATTGTCATCTGCACATTCCATTCCATGCATTCCATCAACCTCATCTTTCCCTCTTCTTGCCCTGATGACGGTACCTGGCTAATAAAGTTTTTATTTCGACTAGTGAAGAGTTCTAACACAGGTTAAGTTTGCCAAAGCTTGGCAATAATTGTACAAAAGCTGGTGAACACAGAAGAAGTTTTTAGCTAATACATATGTATTTGCTTATGTATTTGCTAGACATCCCACATATGTTGATAAGGACAAGTTGCATCAATCAGCACAAGTAAAGGGAATTTATAACTCATTTTGCTGATGGTGGTTATTGCGACATGCTCGGTCTTATTCAGGGTCTCTGCATTATTGCATTATTCATTCAAACTCCCCAATTGCCTGAGTGGGAGAGAACAATCTTATATAGAGCTTCTCCAAAAGTCCCTGTCTTAGTTTAGGTTATGAATAGTTACGTATAATTTATTGGCAAGTAAAGCAAGACCACCTGTTAGGAAAGGCTCAACAATATAAAAGTAGCATGCATAAGACTGCTTCTAATGCATAGCTGAGGAGCCTCGTTCCCAGGTATTTTATCAGGCTTGCAAATTTATTTGTTGCCTTGGCCTGGGTGCCACATGGGATTTGTTGGCACAGTTGTGACGTATGCGGCCCTCGGACATTACATAACAACTGGTCAAACATAGCCCATGGTCAAGAGGGAAAGCCTGCTGCCTTTACTTACCGACTGGCTAGCTATCCACCTTCCCAGCAGCATGTTCTGCCAAGAGAGATGCCCAGACAGCTGTACTAGCTACTCTGCATAAGCAATTGTGCAACATGATAATAGTGGCACACCTTTCTATTGTTCTAGTAGGCACCAACATTCTTTACTGCAGGTAATGTCCTGGAAAGTTACTCGTCAGAATTCTTTGTGGCTTTTGGTAGAAATGATGCTAGTGGAAGAAATACCCCAACTCTGACATTGTTCATTTCATCCATTGAACCAGATCCCGTGCTAGTCACTGTCAAGACTCATAGAGGATTTAGCTTCTCTGGGTTCGCTACATATAGGTTAGACGCGGAAGCGAGGTGTCTACGCTACATTGCAACCCGAGGGGCTGTGGAATGTTGGCGTCCCGAGCGCAGCGAGCGCGCTACCCACATGCCCCGAGGGTTGCAATGTTGCGTAGACAACCGAGCTTCCGCGTCTAACCGGTTTAGACCGGAGTATCTGATTGGTGTTTGCGCGTTCAAATGGGTAGCAACAAGCTAGCAACGCTGCACTCATTCCTCATTCCTTACCTTCGGATGGAACAAGACGCTTTTTTTACGCGTGAGACTCCGAGGAGACAGCCCCCGCCCCCCGTCAAAAATCGTTTACGTCATCATAAAACGCCCTCATTGGTGGTGCGCGTTTGAAAGGGTTAGCAACGCACGGCAACGGCCCAATGTGTTTGTGTATCGCCAGAGCTGAAGAAGCCGACGCTTTTTTCGTGGAATATTGACGTGATTTCTGACTTTCGCGAGCTCCGGAGACTGTCCACAGACTTCTTGCAGGTGCACTACGCATTTTAAAAGAGCTACTTTGCCAGTCGCGCCTTCTACGCTTACATATACCGAACGCGGAATCGGCCGGTTTGCGCAGATAACGACTTTTGAGAATAGCCATTTTGTACGGGGAGTTTGCTGTAGACCACCTGCAAACGCCATTAGACACCTGAAAGGAGGTGTCTATGAAAAATAAACCCCCCGCAATTCTGTAATCTGATTGGTCAATTGCGCGTGACTGCGGTCTAACAACAATGAGACTTTGTCAGTGGAGTACCAAACACGTTTCAGGTTTTCTCAAGCAGCGAGCGAGATAAAGGGATACGGGTCACAGCTGATGGCCAAAGCAGCATTGTAGTTTACGGTTTGAACTACGCCCCTTCTACATCTGCCGCTTTCCTGGCTCTCCCCTGCGATCGCCTCCCAGTGGACCAGTATGAATACTATGGTGTGTCATACTCTGGTGGAAGCCATGGACTGAGTCACATTTTGATTGTGGGCTGTGAGAATGGCACAGTTATTCAAATAGGTTCACAGGTTATTGAGATAAACCAAATGGAGTCTTACTTTTGGGAGAGTAATAGTGTGACTGGAACAAGGGTTATTTCCAATAAACCACTGGTGATGTATGTTGGACATAGATGTACCGATATCCCTTATTATTCGAGTGCTTGTGACCACATCACGGAGCAAGTGTCTCCAACTGCCGTATGGGGAACTACTTTCATGAGTTCGTCTTATGCAGGCAGGGCATCAGGTGACCTCTACCGCATACTGGCATCACAAAGCTCCACTTCAGTGACTGTCAACTGTAGTACTCTCAGTGAAGTGCTGACATACAACCTCGACACTGCTGGCTCATGGCAGGAAATTACAACTCCTGACAAAAGCTTCTGTTCAATAACATCTGACAAACCCTTACTCGTGATGCAGTTTGCACTGGGGAACAGTAAAGACGGGATTGGAGATCCGTTCATGATGATGATCACACCAGTCGAACAGTACAGTAACAACTATGTTTTCAATATCTTGCCAGAATTTGAAATCAACTATATAACACTGTATGTGACTCCTGAGGACTTTCAACCCGGAAGCATATTTGTTGATGACGCAAACCTCGAGAATTCCACATGGGTTGCAGTTTACTGCTCCAGTGCAGATATTTGTGGATATATAACAAACATTTCTCTGCTACCTGGAGAACACCAACTCTATCATGCAGATGTCTCATCGCAAATTGGTGTGTCTGCGTATGGTTTCAACACTTTTAACTCGTATGGATACCCTGGAGGATTGCAACTAGAGCCAGTTCAGTGTAAGCTCCCATAATAATATGTAACTTCTTGTTACCTTTACTCTAAATAATGTATGTATTTAACCAGACATAGCTAAGGCTTTATGAATTTTTATCTCTTATCTGGTCTGGTTACAGTGGCAACCGTCAGTTTCTCGCAGTTAGAGTTTACAGTGCTTGAAAACGAAGAGTTTGCAAGAGTGGAACTTGTGCGATCCGGTGACATTTCAAGGGAGGCAGTTGTTCTCATTGGAAGTGACCCTTACATAGGGGGACGCAGCTGGTAATGAGATTTAGTGTGTGCAATATATTGTTATACCAGATATTCATACCTAAGTTATTGAGTGTCATGCTGCTGATGCAATCTCTGCAGCGAGGAGTGACTACATGGCAATAATTGAAATTCTGACGTTTCTCCCTGAAGAACTTACAAAGAGAGTCGATATTGTAATAAACGATGACACCAATGTCGAGTTTGATGAAAGTTTTTTTCTCTACCTCGTAAGTGGAGAAGGAGTCCATCTCTCTCCGTTTCAAAGAGCTAAAGTGGTCATTAGGAATGATGATGGTAAGCGTATCTGGTGAATATGCAGTTCCGTTATATACCAACTCTCTCTGATTGTCGTTCCAGGCAAAATTACTCTCACACCTCGTTATGGAAGTGAAATTGGGGGCACCCCCATCATTGTAACAGCGGATAAACTTGAAGCATTTGAAGAAGATAATGTCACTTGTGTGTTTGATGGAATTAAAACTGATGGATTTGTTACAAAAGATGGACTGGTATTTTGTGTTTCACCCGAGTTGAGAAGAACTGGAAGAGTGCCATTTGAGCTTCATATTGATGGAGATAAAAATTCTTTTACTGGATTTGCCAAATTTATATCAGGTTCGGTATATACTAGAACGGTACATGGGAAGTAAACTAAGTATAAATAGCATTGACAAGGTTTATGGAGCAAACCCTTGTTGGCGAGGGAAGCGAACCTGTCTAGTCGTTTCAATGCGAGAATTTTCTAGTTATATGTGACAGGCACTGCACGGGCACTTGCATATAGTAATGTTCTGCGCGATTCTAAACACACGCAAAACACACAAGAAATATTGAACTGTTCGCGCTCGCTCGCCAAAAATCTCTAGTAGCTACATTTCTTTTCTCAGAAAGACACAAAATGGACCAATCACATAAAGTGGAATAGCAAAGATGCACCAAGCTACATGACATCATCCCTATATCTTTGTCTCATAGTAAACTTTACTTGTGAACTATATTATATAACACAAAGATATAGGGATGGTGTCATGTAGCTTGGTGCATCTTTGTTGTGTAATGACCCCTTGTTTCTTCCTTTTTGGTGCTTCAAGCCATCCCTATATCCCCCTTCATTTTGAAGAAATGATTTTTCCACTTGTTTCCACTACTTTTCATGCCTTCTGCATTTTCAGTCACTCTGATGTTCATGGGTGTTGTAGAGATAACCGTTGAAAGCAGAAGCTAATGTACTGAAGCAGGGTGTATGCGTAGTGTCTCCAGGTTGTGGCACATATGGTGGGGTGGTATCGTAGGCAAATCAGACTACAATGATAGCTATAACCTGGGGGACAAACAATGAAGGCGCTGGGCAAGGCCGGCGTAACACGGCGCACACTGCCAAGTTGCTCGTACAAATCATCAGCAAAACGTAAGCTAGCCAGTTAAAAATGTGTATACTGACTTACAGAAGCCACTGGAGGATAAGAGTTCCTCTGCAGGCATCCTGGCTTAGTCTCGTAGACCTGGTTCACGCACGAGACTATAGTAATACGCGCGCACCGCATTGGGGAAACGCCCTCCTCGGCGCATGCGGCTCACTAATGCTGAGTTAGCAGCAAATGGCGTTGTCCAGTGACTACCGTGGAAGAGCTCAACGATCTACCGTAGTGACTTACGGCATGAAACAAGCGATCGCTTGATATGCGTGCACACCTCCGACAAATTTGGAGACGTTCTGTGAAAAATCAACGCTTCAACTGCTTCCGGTAAGGAGCTAGCGGGTCTGAAGAAGAAGAAGAAGAAGAATGATGATGACGCGAAATCGCGTAAGTGCGAATTCTCTCGTGGGGAACTGAGGGCACGTAGGACGTCTTGGGGCATATGTATAGCTAGGTATTGGCCTCTAGACTATTGCTAGTGATTTTGAAGCCATGGTGAGTCATTGTCGCTGAGTTTTGAGGCGTTTTGTAGGTGGATCACGTGAGATTTCACACGCGTCATCCCTATATAGAACGTCTACCGACGCTCTGATAAGGATTCCACAAAATTAATGTGGGCCTTTGTTACACCTAACACTATGTTTTCTAGCATTTCCACTAGCAACTAATTAGGGAATGAGTACCTAACACCTGTAAAGAGTATCTATTGTTACTTATGCTCCGCTTAATTAAAAAGTACTTCTGGTAGAGGCAAAAGTATTAACTGCTGGTGGGCAATTTTATTGGTGTCACTAACCAAGGGTACCCCTGCTGTGTTCTATAATATTATTGTAATGTGTGACTGGGGACATAAGTTTTCTTAGGTTGTGTGGTGTTTTTCATAGTGATAACCCTGTGGAAAAATCTTACTCTTTTTTTAGTTTCCCATGACAAAGTTGCTGGAGTAATGGTTGAGAATGGCCCTGTTGTAGCTACTGGTGACATGGTTAGACTTAGCTGGTCACCTGAAGCTATTCTACCCACTGAACCACCTGATAGCTACAACATCAACGTTATGCTCCGCGAGTATGATCAAGAGTCAGGTGAATGGATTGACACTGAATTGGCCAAAGAGATGCCCAACTCTGGGTTCATTGAGATTGCTGTTCCAGAGCGTGCTCCAAAGAATGATAATGAATCTGCAGCCCCTGCTGTTTTTCAGATTGAAGTAAGTGAATCGAGTACTGACACCCAGATTCAAAAGCGTGGACTTTTCTCCACAATCGCCAAAGCTGTTAAAAAGGCTGTCAAATTTGTCACAAAAGTCGTGGCTGTTGTATTATCTCTTGTACTTGAACCTGCACGTCGATTGCTCTGTGAAGCATGGGGGCTGATAGAGTCGAGAGAAAGATCACAGCAAATACTGTCGGAGCTTCCCCCTTGTCCATGCACAGTGGCGGAAATAGACACACGTGGAAGTGGCTTTGAACTAGAAGATAGAAGTATCTCGTCTATTTTTCATCCCGGTAGTGACAAGTGCTTTCGCCAGAGAAGACCGTAAGTGTTATAATGCACCTTACACCACCCGATGTAAGTACAAGTAGCAAGTGAGTAATTAATGTATTGAGGACTGTGTAACAACCCCTTTATTTTGATAATTGACTGTTATTGTCACTGTGATGTGCATGAATTTTCGAAAGGAAGGTTTGACCATGAACAAAAAAATTTTTGCTAATTTACTGACCAAAATGAAAAGCACTAAAGTGCAAACCCTCGGCGCTGAACGCGCGAGTTGTAGCATCGCTGTATGCTGGGCCGTGCGTCATCAACGGAGCCAGTAACACAGGGTAGTTGCATTAGTGGTTAGAGCAATGGACATGCAACATTTTTAAGCAAAATGCTCCAAATCAAACAAATTGGACACATTTCTCAAGCTGCAGGTTGGTAGGTATAGGGAAGGCAAGGCCGCAACCACAAACTGCTCGCCACCTGAACTATTATGCTACATTACGAACATAGCTACCTTGCTTAGCATGTTTATCCATTGAGAACAGAGATCAAAACTGACCGAAGCCAGTGGATCGTACAACCAACGTGGGGGAGCGCATGCTCCGGCGAATATGACGCGTGTGCGCTATAATATTATAGCCTGCCGGAGAGGGCGAGTGTGCGATTCACCGCACGTTGGCTTTTTCGCTTGTTTTCACGCCATATCTCTGGAATGCAGTTGTTTCAGGAAAATCGCCACGTTGATATCCATCTTCTCGTTGTTCACAACCCGTTGGTGCCCCTCATTGGCCGCCTCGTAGCCTGTAGTGCGAGAACTCGCGCGGACAGACAGACGACAGACAGACAGATCAAGTACCGTAACCCTCGCCACATAAATAATCATGTTTTAAAAACAGGTCCACGACAGCTGGCCAGCAATGCTGCTATGATGCCACTGGTGACATTATTGTGGGGCAAGTCGCTGGAGGAACTGTTGATTTTATTGCTCCAAAAGACATCAAGACAACCATCGGTCATTTCATTGTCGATGTCGTGCCACACTTCTTCTGCTGTACAAACACTTTTCTCAGTAACTGTGAAAAGTATTATCGATATCGTCCCTCAGATGACTGCTCACGTACACGTCCACAACAACCAGGTAAGAACGTTTATTTGCTTCACATTGTCGGGAATCAAACTCAGGCACTATGCTACTCACTGAGCTATAAATCTCGTACAAAAGTTGGTCTTCCTCACATTAGATACTGCCAGTGGTCGGTTGCCTCTCTGGCAACGTTGCACTGGGAGCTACTGTGCCATTTGTTGCTAGAATCCTACTAGGTTTCAACACCACATCGACATCAGTGCTTTATGTGTTTCAATGCCAAAACTGCGATAACTAAAGGAATTGTATTTATTCCTCTCTCTGCAGCATTTGCGAGGGGAGATCCTCACTTGATAACACTGGATGGACTGCGATACACATTCAACGGTCGTGGAGAATTCACTCTTATTGAAACACAAGGAGACATGTTCACACTGCAAGGCCGTATGACACTAGCCAATGGTGTCAACAAAAGTGCAATAGCTGCCACGGTCTTCTCAGCCATTGCTGCCAAGGACAATGATTCCGACACTGTTCAGTTCGAAGTTGATGAAAACAACACACTGATTGCAATCGTTTCCGGAGAACTCGTAGTGTTTGATCTTGCAGAACAAGAGTTTGAAAAAGTGACAGTGCAACATCTCGGCGAAAACTCTATTGAAGCTCTGTTTGCCAGTGGAGCATATGTAGTGGCTGGGGCAGAGAATGGGTTTATAGCAACCCTCCAGGTGATTCTGCCGGAAGCCTACTCTGGTCAGGTCCAGGGACTACTGGGGACCTACAATGGAGACGTATCAGACGACCTACTGCCTCAGTTTGGTGACAGACCACTCCCCCCTGACTCGAGCATGGAAGACATTCACACAAGTTTGGTGTAACATGTGAGTTGATACGTAATATTTGACCCGATTTAAACATTTCATGGGTTAGCGAAAAGTCTTCCCAGCCATTCTTGTACTATAGAGTCTGCACTGAATATTACTAGGGGGTAGGTGACAATGAGTCTTAAGCCTAGCTTTCATCTGTGCTGCAAAAACCTACCGGAAGTGATAGTAACAATGATGCTCTTACTGCTAACGTCATTCATGTACACGCAAACTTGAAGGGAATGTGTCAGTACATAAGGGCTAAAGATCCAATAAGACCCAGTGTAATTAAGTTTCCATTTTCAGCAGTAATTAATTTAGCCCTTTCATACTGCCACATTCCTTATAAATTCCATGTAGGGATTGTGGACAGTGCTACCAAGAGCCTGTTTGTGTACCAGCCAGAACATAACTGGGACTCGTTCTATGATCCTTACTTCGTTCCATCTTTCGAGCCAAATTTCAGTGACCCAACTCTAGAGTCAAAAGCAAATGAAATCTGTGGTGACGACAGCTCTTGTCTCTTTGACATTGCTGCTACCGGAAACATTGATGTTGGAATTTCAACTTTTGAAAGTACAAAGACCATAGACGAAATTTACACTTTCCTACTTCCAGGTTTGAATAATTGAGGATTGATCTCATACAGCCCCTTTCATTGTGTCTGTAACAACATTACTATAGTTGTGTGCAGTCCTGGGTGTGAGTTTGGAGCCTGTGTTGCTAATGACACATGCAAGTGCTCAGAAGGATACGCAGGGACATCATGCTCTGAAAAAGGTAGTAACGCTAAGGTGACCCAAGCATATATATCCACTTGCCCAATCCTAAGCTATTGACCAGGTTTCTCAAATCATAACAATACACCTACTGGCTAAACATATTTTCTAGTAGAGAGCATATTATTATCCATAGGGAAGAAGAATAGATCAAACCTTGTAGCTACTAATCCATGTTTCTGACTAAGTTTTGAGTCATGACATTTTTGTGTTGGTTACTCGGCTAATATACTTTGTGTACTCCACAGTTGTGCAGACTTGTGAGGAGAACATCTGTGAAAATGGTGGCAGTTGCACGAGGCACGTGAACGACTACACATGTATGTGCTCTCCTGGTTTCAGTGGCTTTCTCTGCGAGGAAGGTATGCCATTTACACGTGTTTGTAAGCCGCAAAAACTTAACCACTCTTTAGGCACGTGTATATATGGTGTTACAAAACTCGTACATTATAGCCTGCTGCATCTCAATGTTGACAGCTTTAGGTGAAAGCGACAATGACGAATCTGGGAATACTGGAACAGTGGTTGGTGTTAGTGTGGTGATAGTTTTACTGGCTCTCATCTCTATGACCGTTGTGGTGGTGATAGTCCTGCGAAATGCCCGTCAGAAGCGAAGGGGCGGTATATACCACATAAAAAAATCTGAGGAATTGTAAGTAAACATTCAATTCTAACGCAAGTCTTAATGTGTCTTCCTTTCATTTTTAGTGACATGCGGCAACCTGCTAAAGAACAAAAGTAAAAAGGAGGAACAAGAAACTGCTAGAACTTGTAAAAGTAGTTGTAAAAAAACTTTTATCATAGCATGTTGATTATTTGTTCGTAGATTTATTACTACATATTTTATAGTTATTTCCCTTACATGAGTGTCTCTGACTGATATTGCCATCAATGTAACAATTCACCGAAACCGCAACCATTTGCACAACTTACGGCAACAGTTTGATCAGACTCTAGGAGAGGGTGAATGTATATAGCTTGATACGAGAGTGGAAAGATGGAGCTGGTTAAAATGTGGGTCCAGATGAGCACAAGGACTCAAAAATATTTTAGTGGTGCTAAAACTTTTCCCACGGCTCAGAAACCCTACCTTACCAGCATTGCATGCTTTGGAGAATCGACATCTTTGAAGATGTAGAAGACCCATTTGAAGCAGCTCTGTGCCATTCTTCTCGGACTGGTAATGCGTGTGGGTACCAAACGTGCCCTGACACCACTTATAGTTGAGATAAAGTTGACTCTTGGGATCCATTGCTTGCACGGTATATACGTCCCGACTCCTGCGTCTCCTTAGAAAGAGCTGGGCACAAGGCATATAGCTACAGCACGCGCGCTCGACCGCGCATGCGATGGAGGGCTAGCTGGTTTTCTCTCTCATCTCTCTTTAGATATTCACCAGCCAATGATGGTTGAGAGACTGCCTTCTTTGCCTTGCAAAGGATGAGAACAATCCCGCTGTTCGATCCGCTCCCAATGACAAAACATTACTAAAAAAAATGTGACCATAAACATTTTCTAGCAAAAACATGGCTACATACACACATAAACACAAAAATGCATAATTATTGTGAGAGAAGGCAGGGCCACCTCGCAGCAGGTCAAAGGGTCCCTCCACCAACTGGGGTTGTCAGACTCCCCTTCACCTCAATGGCATTAGTGGACAGAGAGCGGGCAGTCTGGCGGACCACGGTATTACATCTCGACGCTGCAGGGCTCGGAGGGACATGCCGGGAGAGGGCGGGGCTCGAGAAATGTCTGGAGGGGCGGGGCTAGTGGGAGGGGTGGAGGGGAACCGGAGAGTGAGGGCCTTGTGGCGACAGAAAGACACGGCGGGAACAACTGGACCGTGCACATCATCAAAGATGATTCCCAGGAGTTTCCCGTTGCGGTAGAAGGACATGATGTGTTGGGAGAGATCCAACATGACTCCCACAGCATCTCCCTCCCTGAACAGGTTGTGTTTGCGACAGAAGGGGTTGAAGAAGGTGCACCCGTGAGCGAGTTTCTTTGCGGTCCCGCAGGCAAGGCCCCACGAACGGTTCCCAATGGGACACGTCTTTATCCCTATGACTCCGTGTGACCTGCAACCACATAAGGAATCATGCAGTAGAATAATATAAGCGTTGAAAAGTTACTGGGTATATTTTATATACTAGCACAAGAGCCACTGCCTTCTGCAGAATGAAACCTGTGGCATGTCTCATACATAAATTGGGGATAGAATGGTTTTCCACAATTACTGTTAAGGGTCATTCTGCACTTCACGATACGGCCTTAAAGTAACAAGAGCGCCTGGTTCACAATACAAAACACATGAGAAATGTAAGTCTGCAAAACCTGGCACGGACAAAAACACATGAGAGTCACACACACGCACACATTACCTGTGCCACTGGTGGAACCCGACGACACCAATGACAGCCTTCCTGGAGAGAGGGGGTGCTTCGTACTTCTCCAGGACCACCTCCCGGTAGTGGCAGCCATGGGAAAGGATGGTGTTGGCACCCACACTTACCCAGGTGGCGTTCTCCCCAATACTGACTGTGTAGCCTCCATTGGTGATGTGGGCTCTTGGGGGACGCTGGTTAGGATCCCACAGGAAACCTGGGTGTATCAGAACCATGGTTGGCTTTTTGTTTGGTCAAAATAGGTTATGGGTTCCTTACCATTGCATGCATGAGATAATATTGCTGGATGAATTGTACGTGAGGTACATACGAAAGCAAAGCAAACCCAAAGCTAACGAAACCTAGCTAGGACAGTACTTCTTTTACAAGTTGTAGGCAGCAGCACCCATAGTGTCGGTACTCCTTGTAACACTCTAGGAGCAAGCAACAAGGTTTCAATCTATATTTTAAGTCTGGTTTTAGTCCAATTCTGCATTCAGACAGCTAGGTGGGCTCGGCTAGGTGGGCTCTGCTAGGTGGGCTCTGCTAGGTGGGCTCAGCTAGGTGGGCTCTGCTAGGTGGGCTCTGCTAGGTGGGTTCTGCTACGTAGGTGGGCTCTGCTAGGGGAGCTCGCTTCAGTCCCAGAAAACATTGCATGGCTCACACGCTTTCTTCTTGGTATAGCTGACTGAGACACTGTATGGCCCGATGCCTACGTCATTCACAGCAGCCACTCTGAAATAGTAGATGACATCTTCGTCGGTGCCAACTCCATCAGCATCACACTCAATCTGGGGGCCTTGATACACCACTCTGTGGCAGTGTGGGAAGGAAGAACATCACATCTCAGAGCAAGAGTGGGAGAGGAAGAACGTCACATAATTATTATAGGGTAATACATAAGCATTACATTCCCCATATTAAATCAAGGTTGGCTGGCCAGTCCATCTCCTCTCTGCGTCAAGAGCTCATGACTAAAAGAAATGCAAAATGTTTGGGTGAGCAAAGTGACCTTCAACTGCTGTACATGACGTTCTCACAGGCACATGTTCATAGCGCAGGGTCGGTCACCATTCGTTACATTGTACATCTGGAAAACAACGCAATACAGACAACTAAGTGGGCCCGCTTTGCTTGCTAATAGGTCCATCTTCTATACTATAATTTCACAAGTCATTAGCGAGGATAAGATGAATTTTATACACTCAAGAGCTGTATCTGTGTCAGCGCTACCACACTTACATTACTCTCAACAGCTAATATCATGTGATTGTGTATAGTGTGTATGCTGACGACGCGAGACATACTTCAAAGTTTGGACCGATTTATTTGTAGTCATTACAAGCAGTTTGCGAGATTGTGTGTAGTAATGCAAGAGGTCTCGGTTATTACGTTATATCACATGCACACACGTGAGTTGTGGTGATGGTCTATAGCTACACTCCTTAATTCTTGTTTGACAATGGTGCAGTAAAAATAAACTCTAACAACACTCTTTCATAACGTAGAATGATCACACGCGTGTAACACTATCAGTTAATTATAAAGGTGCATGTAGCTAGCTAGCAGTGGAGTAATGAGTAAATTAAGTTCCATACGTTGGCAGTGAAGGGACAAGGATCGGCATTTTCTCGTCATTTCCATCGTCAGTATTTTCTGAACTCTGTCTCCGAAGTGATGCCTCTTCATACACCTCCCAGTTCTCCTCAACCCCGCTGCCAACACCACCCTGTTTCACAATCTTCCTCCATGGCAAGGTGAAAACTATTGGAAGTCGATACTTGATCAGAACGTACTGGCGGTAGAGTACTAAACAACCAAGTTGAAAAGTAGCAGCGGCCGTAAAAATGTAGTCAATCACGGTTTGTCCGCTGTAGAGTTTGGCCAGTGAGTAAACGGCAAGATTTGAGACAATTGTGATTTCATATGCAGACACGTACCAACTGCGATAGAAACCCATCACGTATCCAATCATTTGTAGTAAGAATATGGCGAGGAGACACATGGCCAGAAGAATGATACCGCTACTTTTATCAGGAGTTAGAACCAGTACAATGTGAAGGATTGCTCTTGATAACAGGAGTACCCCTACCCAATAGCGGTGTTTGTCTTTCAACGGACCGTAATAGGCATCCATGAATGGCTTGATTCGGAACATTGCACGAGAGATGAATCGATTATTGCTCCGCACTAGCCACTGGCCTAGTAGTAAAGTCAGGGTGTAGGGAACACACAGAAATATCAGTACAGTCACAGCCACAACGAGCAAAGGAAGGTGCTTGGCTCCAAGATAATCAATGTCACCATCCAGTAACCACGCCTTTTTCGTGTAGTTTGGATATTCTACACTAGAGTAGGATATGATGGCTATTCAACTACATAGTAGTTTGTTGTAGGAGAGCAGAAATAGTGTGGGAAGAACAGAGACTGCATTGGAGGCAATTATCGTTGCAGCTCTGTTGCTGTATCTTCCCAACACTACGACAACTCCTGCGATGGTCCAAATGTACAGAGGAAAAAGGAACTGTAGCCACATCTTCCAGTACTCAGTGAGACCATCAAAGAAACAAGACTCGATGCCCAAGTCAAGGTTGGTCCAAGAAACGATGATAGTCAGTACATTGTTGTGGCCCCGCGGTCTCAAAACGGCCCAGCTAGACTGAATGATGTTGAAGTACAAGGTCAAACCGTTTATGTATCCACCAGAAACTGTGATATCCAGAGTTTTAATGGCAAGCACCAACACAACACCGGCAAGTGTAACGGGTATAAGCAGAGAGAGGTACTTGTTGGAGCAACGCAGACACCTGTGACTCCCTAGGACAGCACTTAGACCTTCCCGGCATCCCCCGCAGAGAACACCAGAATGGTTGTAGTTGCACTGGACATCAAGATCATCAAGAGATACATTCTCCTCAGTCTCTTTGCAGAATAGCAACAGACAGTACTGTGACACTGCCAAGTGTTTGTCTTCATTCAGTCCAATCCAAGAGGCACCACTTCTCTCAAACGTCTTGTTCTCTATGTAGCACTTGACTCCAGGGAGCTTCCGTAGCTGTGGACTACACACGCATTGGTATGGAGGCTCAGAGAGACTGAATCCAAGTGGACATGGTTGGACAGAGATATTGATGTAGACAGGAAAGTCAAGCAGGTCTTGTGGGAATAGTCCATTGCCATTCTGGAAGGCTTTGTATTGTTCTAATGCACTGTGGACACTGTCATTGCTCACAACTTGTACTTGTGCAGTCTCCACAGCAGTCAGGACCAGAACTGTGCTGTGAGTGGGAGCTGCGAGGATGGAGTAAGTGAGCTGATTACAGTGAGTCTGAGCCACCGACTGGCTGTACTGCCACTGCTCCAGTCTGCTGTCTTCATCATCAGAGGACAGGAATTGACCATAGACTGAGCCGGCCCCTGCCCCAAAGTCTTGCCCCACCACAGCTGCTGGCAGGGAAATGCTCTCTCCTGGATACATCATGTGATTGTAAAAGATCTTCAGACAGTCGGGTTGACCAGTGGAGTTACAGAGGCACACTCTTGAAGGCTGAGAGGAAATGACTGACATGGTGTTTGTCTGGTTTATCACAGAGACTTGCTTGAACTGTGTTAGACAGTTTGAACCATAAGCGGCAGTGGCTAACCCCATGTGACCACCATACACCACATCACCACCATTACCAGCCGAGTTGTTGATAAATATGGGACCATTTCCCAGGAACTGAAAACTGCACACCGAACAGAGCGTGATAGTTTCAGAATTTTCAGAGTCCACCTCGTAAAAAGTGTTGGAATCTACATAGACGGCACCGCCCACAGACGTAGCGTGATTACCAATACACAGGAGGGACGAGTTTAGAGCCAGCTTAATGACACTCTTCTGCTGTAGGATCATAGCTGCTCCAAGAGGTGCTGTGTTGTTTGAGAATGTCACAACACCAGAGAAAGTCACATTCGAACCGACTGCCTTCATTGCTGATACTTTATTCTCAGTGAAAGTGCAATTTTCAAAGTTAACATCTCTCGATTGGTAGAGCACTGCCACTGCTGGATGGTCTGTTGTGTCACTTACAGAGTCATAGAACTCCTTGAAGCATGTGTGTTTCACTGTAACACTACTGCTTCCATACACCAAAACAGCAGGCTGATTTGTCACGTTTCTGATACAAATACCATCAAGAACAATATCGTAACAGTTCTGGATGGAGACTGGGGCATTTGTGACCACATTTTCAATTGTCGCATTCCTTAAATTGTTTAGATAGAGAGCACTGACAGAGCCTTGTGTGATTGTCAGATACGTGTCCTTTATCACTGTATGACTAGCATTGAAAAGCACCATTCCCGTACCGGATGTAGTCATGTTGAAATTCACAAAGGAAGTCCCCCAAATGTTTGTTCCCCAAATTCCACGATCTGCGACTGTCACATTATGAAACAGAGTGTAGAAAACAAACTCAAGCTCAATGCACAGAATGGGGCACAAGCTCATTCTTGAGTTACGTATGGTTGTGTTTCTCGTAAGATTTACCAAGTATATAGCCTCTGCCTCCATAGCAATGAAATGAATAGAGTCTATTACTGTGTCAGAGCCTGCTACAATATGTATGCCATTGTCACCACACCTGTGGAGTGTCCCTTTACTCACGGACACGTCGTGTGTTTTTTCGAGGCGAATGCAGTGGCTCTCTGCTTCTGAGACCTCCACATATTGAACACTCATATTTGACACCTGATACACTGTTATTGCTTGCCTACAAGAGCTAACAACAGTCAGGTGTTGTAGCAATATGCCACGGGTATAGTGTGCATGAATACCCACAAAATTCAAAGTCAAATTCAGTAGAAATGCTCTAGTAGAGTCACGTAGGAGAATACCTCCACACAGAAAGCTGATATATTTACATCTGTCCCCGTATTCTTCTAACACACTCTCCTCAACACTGATAGACACAGAGACACTATGTACTGTGAAGGTATCACTCCCGTAGAAGCTAATTCCACTTATTGACGAGTTGGTATTGGATTTGACCGCAATGATTTGAATTCCTTCAACTGTAGCTTCACTTGTGTTGTAGAACTGCATGGTAGAACACTCCTGACACACACCACCTTGCGGGCACTCACACAATTTTGTGGAATTGAAAACAATAAGTGGGTTGTAGCTATGGTGTTGAATAGGATAGCTCCTAATAGTCACATTAAATGCATTAGTAATGAGAACTGGTGACGATATATCGTGAGTGCCACTCAGTAGCCAAAATACAGAGTTGTTGTTGGACTTGAAATACTGATCACTGGCCTTGATATACTGAGATAGAGTGAGACATGGCTGGCCGGGACAAGAGCTGTTGGCTGGTTGAGTTGGCCTCACAAAGTAGCCAGATGCTCCACACACCAGAGGTGCTGCTATGTTGGAGACGTGAAGGAAGAGTAACAGAGGCAGACAATTCATGCCTGGGATTTAAGCTTGAGTAGAGAATACTGAAACTTCAAAGAATTCAAGTTGCAACTTAGTTTCAGCAGGCTGTTTTATACCCTCTGTGTGAAACTTGTTCACAGGTTCCAAACATGGCAAGGAAAAACAAGTCGGTCTGCACAGGTGGGTTGGCTTGTCACGAAAACAATCCTAAAAGTAGTCTATTTCCCGTTCTGGTGCATTGCCGTAGTAGACGTTCCCACACCGCTTTTAGCAGTATTGCACAGCATTCGTGTTTACAAAGGAATCACACACAAGGTGTGATTTTCAGTTTGGTGTTTATTTGGTAGCAAACATGTGTAGTAAGATCTGTGATAAAAGTATTGGTAGCATGCCAAATACTCACGAGGATGCTACATATGTAGATCACCCAGAGTAACACAGAGAGCCTGTATCACATGTACATGACACATGTATCAGTGCCTCTAGACCCCTTTTGTAGGAATGGCACAGGCTCATGGGATCATCCGTGTGTATTAAAAAAAGCCTCTGAACTCTGTAAAGATTCGAAACACACTATTAATACCTCATCGGGTGATATATCTTCTTAATTGTTCTTCTTTATTTTACTAACAATTCTGTAAAATAAACGGGATGTAGGGATGTCACTTATGAAGGGGGAAAAGAAGATGACAAGACAGAAAATCGTTCATTGCCACACCCCCCTCCTGGCTCCGCCTCATCCCCATATCTCGATCTGTGTGTGTGCTCATTACCCACACCTACATAATTAAGTTTTATCTTGTTCGTGTATGCATGATACCCACAGAGCAATAAATTGTGAACTATCAATCCTCTCAATGTCTACATGAACTGCAAAGAATTAGGGATGGACTTTCTGTCTCGTTGTAGCTAAGTGTTTTTTGCTGTTCCCCTTCTTTTTATGAGGTGACATCCTTATATCCCTTTCATTTCAGGGAATTATTCTTCCACTTGTTTCACTCAATGCTAAAAGTTGTGTAGATAGATAGACACATAATAATACTTTCATGCATTCACACTGGTGAACCCCAGCGAGAGACCCTGCAGTTCTCATAGCTAGATCCAATCCGATGTAATCTGAGATAGGAGGTGATGCTGGGCCCCAACGCGTAGTTATAATGAAGTCTACTATAATGAAAAGCACTGAAGTACAAACCCTCCGCGAACTACGCATGCGCGGTACTGCTAATTGATGGGCTGGGCTATTCAGTATGCGTTTACTCGCAGTCTCTCCCGCCAGTAGCTCGCGGAGAGTCTTACACGGGCTAGCTACAGCAGTAGATAGAATGCGGGAGTCGATACACGCCCTTCGTTGTGTCTTCTTGAACCTCCTAGGTACACAGAACGAGCGGATCAGGTCGCAGTAAGTCAAGTGCGATTATGCATATTGGCGATTTCACAGCATATCTCTCGAACGCAGTCGTTTCAGGATAATCGCCTCTATATTTTTCAGGCTCGCGTAGTTCTGAAGCCGCTGCTATCGCTAATAGGCCACCTCGTCGCCTGTAGTGCCAGAATAAGCGTCGACAGACACCCAGACAGACAAACCAACTACTGTAACCCTCGCGGCGCATGCGCGCCGAGGGTTAATGACTTATTCTAGCTGGGCACACAGTTTTGCGTGCGCTATAGGTCGCGAGCGAACTACGCGGCGTAGCCTGCGAGACAATCTGAACACTTAACCAGTCGGCAGAAGCCAGCAATGTTGTTTCAGATTGTGATCACACTGGGAGTCCTCGCCCAGGTCGGCGTATTTGCCATCGACGACCGAATTCTGGAGCGAGCTTCTAATGGCACCTCCGTAGTCCTGCTCACAGTGGCCTACCTCCAACAAACCACCATCTTCTCCGACGACAACGGGATGCTACGCCGAATCGCCTACGTAGAAACGAGGGACGGGGCAAGACTCAGCGATAATATTTGGGCTGTGAGCGAGGAGGGGCTGCAATTGACGCAGGCTTCCGACCATCCGACTCTAAACGTCAAGCACAATCTCATTTCCCGAGAACTGGATATAGACTGGATCGCCGTGGATTGGGAGGAACTGCAGCGACCACTGTACTCTGCCGTGGCAGCTCGTCTGCTCCTCTTCCTCGCTCCGGAACGGCTGCCAGATGTGAACGATATTGATGGTCAAGCTGCGTTTTGGAAGAAGTACTATAACACAAATGGATCAGTGAGTGAATTTACTGGAGCCTCTTTTGAATTGGAAGGTGAATAAATTGATACCAAAGCTATTGTAACACAGCATTGATGGGACTCCACTAATAATAAAATTCAATGCATGTGGGTAGGGAAGCTATGCCATAGCTTGGCAATTATTTTACAAACGCTACAAAAGCATAATCGACATCAGCAAAATATTACATTGACTACGTATGTGTTGATAAATGCACCTTTCTCCTATGGGATAACTTCATGGTCTTGCAAAGTCGAAGCTATATATGAGACTTGCTAGACCATGAAGTTATTCCATAGGAGCAAGGTGCATTATCAGCACATAGTCAAAGGAATTTATTACATATTGCTGTGTTGGTTATTGTGTGACATGCTCAACTGGTTATTGCAACATGCTCAACTGTCTATAAATATTCAGGGTCCTGTTCATTATTCATTCCAACTCTCCCATGAATTCGAATTGCCCGAGTGGGAGAGAATGACACTTTTCCATAATGATCATTGTCTCAGCTCTGGTTATGACTGTGTGCTATATATTCAGTGGGCGAGAAAGTATGACCACCTAGTTTTCCGAATTTAGGTGCTTTTTACAGTCAAGAAAAAGTGACATGCAGACTGCTATATACTGATGTGCCTCATTCCCAGGCATCTTTGAAAATTTCCTGGTACCTTTAAGTAAGAGATAATGTGCGTTAGGAGTTCTCATAGGTCTCGAAGGGTATGGTGGGACTATGAATATTAATAATCGGGACTCAATATCGGGACAATACGCGCGAACAACCAAGTGCGCATGCGCGTATGGTTCAGTTAGGACGCACCGCGATCGCTCGCCGGTTACGAGTCTATGCTTGAAGCAACAGTACATACATTATACGCAGTGCGTAAAGAGTAACCGAGTACAGAAGTCCAGTTGTCCATGATTCGTTGCTCTGCTGCAAACCGTCACTACCGCGGAGTACCCCGAGAAATCGGACAAGCAAGGTGATGGGCGGGACAAGGCTGGGAAATCGGTATCTGTCCCGCCTAATTGGGACAGTTGAGACCTTATGGACGAGGGGTGTGGTCGAGAGACTCATACAGCACGAGGCGCAGCCGAGTGCATGCCTCTTGACCACAACCCGAGTTCCAATAAGTCATGTATAGAACGATAGGACGCACATTATGTGTTTTATTGTGACTTTGTAGCAGTCGTCGACCTCGAGCGAGAGAGATTCGACTGCGTAGCCTATGGAATGCCGTTTCCGCCAAAAGTAAGGGCTCTCCGCTTGTCAAAAATCGATCTCCAAATCGATCACGTACTCGATTTTTGGTCAAAAATCGATCTCTAAATCGATCACTTACTCGATTTGTGTGGGGAAAATCGTTTTGTGGGGAAAATCCTTCTCTAAATCGATCTTTCACTCTTTTTTTGCTCTAATCGATTTCGTAATCGATCTCGCGAAACACTCTTCAGTGTGCGATGCCGCTACAAAACTCCGCGGACTACGGATGCACGCGACATTGATTGATTTGGTCTGTGATCTGATTGGTGTCTCGACTTCGTGTGAACACCCCCCCCTTTTTCCCGCGAGGCACGCCGGTTAGCTTAGACCTCGATCTATACAATCAGATCGCAGAACGGCCAACAACGTCATTTGCATCCTTAGTCCGCGGATTTTAGTGGGCTGGGCATCACGGACTAGAAGCTTCGCGGATACTACAGATATGACGTCTTTAGGACCGGTTATACGTCAAACACACACGTTTCTTGAAGCTAACGCGAGTAAATACAACGTAAATCGAGTAAAAGATCGATTTAGAGATCGATTTTTGACCAACAATCGAGTACGTGATCGATTTGGAAATCGATTTTTGACCAAAAATCGAGTAGCTACGTGATCGATTTGGAGATCGATTTTTGACAGGCGGAGAGCCCTTACTTTTGGCGGAAACGGCGTTCCATACTACCCATGCGCACGTGCGCACTCGCTGGCTTCTCGAGCGAGCTCTCTGTTCTCGAGGCTACCGTAATCGAACAAGGTCGTGATGGTGGCTCTTTCTCCCTCAGAGAAACTCGTTTCATAGTTCGCTGGGCCGTTTGACCGGTCGGTGTGCCGCGGCCGCGGTCTCGCTTGCTACTGGGAGCTGAATGAAGGGGTGTGGTCGCCTCAGCCATCCCTCGCCTCTACAGCCACTACAGAACAGTCATCCCTCGCCTCTAAAGCCTCTACAGAACAGTTTTTGTCTACGCTATGGGTACGATGCTGATGCTAGTTCTATATTGAACGCGTGCTATATACAATACGGGAAATAAAAGTATGCGCGGCTACTTTGATCCGCCCACGCAAGTCACAATAAAGATAAGATAATGCATTGTTGCATGGGCCCACGTGCCAGATTGGATATGTTGGCACAGTTGTGACATAATATTATGCAGCCCTCGGGCATTACGTCATAACCTGGTCAAACGTAGCCCATGGGTCACGAGGGAAAGCCTGTTGCCTTTACATAGCGACTAGCTAGCTATCCACCTTCCCAGCAGCCTATTGTAAGTTTTGCCAAGAGGGAAGCCTAGGCAGCTCTCTTAGATCACTGGATAGGCAAGTGTTCCACAGTGGTATATACACCTCGTTAGCTAACCCTCGGTGCGCATGCACGGCGAGGGTTACAGTACTTGGTTCATGACTGTCCATTTGTCGTTTTCTGCCACCATGCGCAGGAAATCGGCCAAAGAGCGATAGCAACGGGTTCAGTGCTACACTGGCTCGAATTGTAAATTACAATTTCTTTCCCGTAAAGAATGTATGGGGAGATAAAAGAGCGTGCTGTAGAAAAACCAAGCGGTATTCGGAGACGATTTGCAACTAACTCCATATTGTAATGAAAAGCACTAAAGTGCAAACCCTAGGCTCAAAATGCGCACGTTTGTGGTTTTGTAAGCTAGGTGGGCTATTTCAAAGTGGATCGTATCAAACAGTTATTTCGCATAACAGTGTTCGTATTAATGAGGTTCCACTGTAACTACAAACTTGAATATAAGATGAACAAATTGGATGAAGGGTATCTGCTATGAGTTCATTAGTGCTTATCAGAGTAACCAAATGACATGTTGTTGCAAGTATGCAGTAACACAGTTCAGCTATGAGCGGAGCATTATTGTGCATTGAACATGACGGGTGGAGTGTCTGTGCTTTGATAATATATAGCTCAGAGGGATCCTTCAACGTAGAAATGAGAGTTCTTCTTTAATCCTGTCATGTATGAGATATTTGATGGATAGCCTGTATAGGAGGGATGGTAATACCGAATTAAATATAAAATTGGTCAAGTGATATACATAGAAACATAGCACTACTCCATAGTGACTATGTATACCACACTCACATTCGCTTTTTGCATTCTACTGTGCTTCGTTGCTTGGGATATATTGCCAGACTGGGCTTTACGCTTAGATGGGAAGGCATGGCCGCATCCACAAACTGCTCGTCTAACGTGAACTGCTGTACTACATTGCGGACATACCTTGCTCAGTTTGTTGTCCATCGAGAACAGAGATCAACACTGACAGAGGAGAGAAACTCAAGAACCGCTTGCTCGTCCAAGGTCAACCACGTGGCATATCGCAGATGCGCATGCTCCGGCAAACGATAGTTACGGCAACATACGCGCGTGCGCCATGGATCGCTCGCGTCTGATGCTCCGGCAAACGGTATACACCCACATACGCGCGTGCGCCATGGATCGCTCGCGTACGCTTTTTCGCTTGTTTTCACGCCATATCTCTGGAACGCAGTCGTTTCAGGAAAATCGCCACATTCATATCCATCTTCTCGTTGTTCACAACCCGTTGGTGCCACTCATTGGCCGCCTTGTAGCCTGTGGTGCGAGAACTCGCGCGGACAGACAGACAGACAGAATGACAGAACGACTATATACCGTAACCCTCGCTGGGCATGCGCGCCGAGGGTTAATACTAAAAATCCAGTGATCCCCTACCGCTCGGCAAGTTATAGTGAAGAATACTAATAACTCTGTCACATTCACAGCGTGAGCCCTAGAGCCAAGCTAAATGCACAGTACCTTACTTTGATCCTTTTTACCAAAAAAAGGAAAAAATATCCTTTTTACCGTGGTTTCAAACGAATTCTCCATATGTGTTGTCAACAAACTTCGAGCATGTCGTCGTACGCGCTAATTGGAATTCTTGTACGATTCACGTCAGACCTCCTCCTCTGAGCTGACGGCACTTAATAATTCGCCAATGCCTAAGACTAACATGGACCGGATCCGCTTGCTCTGTGGATATTGAAGGCACAAGAAGTCACAACAAACAACGACTCCCGCATTCTATCTATACTGTAGCTATATAGCCCGTGTCAGACTCTCCGCGAGCTACTAGCGGGAGACCACGAGTACACGCGTGCTTAGCCCAGCCCATCAATTAGCGGTACCGCGCATGCGCTGTTCGCCGAAGGTTTTGCACTTCATATTGTTCTAGTAGGCACAAACATTCTTTACTGCAGGTAATGTTCTGGAAAGTTACTCGTCAGAATTCTTTGTGGCCTTTGGCAGAAATGATGCTGATGGAAGAGATTCACCAACTCTGAGATTGTTCATTTCATCCATTGAACCAGATCCCGTGCTAGTCACTGTCGATACTCACAGAGGATTTAGCTTCTCTGGGTTCGCTACCAACAACGAGACTTTGTCAGTGGAGATACCAAACACGTTTCAGGTTTTCTCAAGCGACGAGCGAGATAAAGGGATACGGGTCACAGCTGATGGCCAAAGCAGCATTGTAGTTTACGGTTTGAACTATGACACATTTACATCTGACGCTTTCCTGGCCCTCCCCTGCGATCGCCTCCCAGTGGACCAGTATGAATACTATGGTGTGTCATACTCTGGTGGGGGCCATGGACTGAGTCACATTTTGATTGTGGCCTGTGAGAATGGCACAGTTTTTCAAATAGGTTCACGGGTTATTGAGATAAACCAAATGGAGTCTTACTTTTGGGAGAGTGATAGTGTGACTGGAACAAGGGTTATTTCTAATAAACCGCTGGTGATGTATGTTGGACATAGATGTACCGATATCCCTTCTTATTCGAGTGCTTGTGACCACATCACGGAGCAAGTGCCTCCAACTGCCATATGGGGAACTACTTTCATGAGTTCGTCTTATGCAGGCAGGGCATCAGGTGACCTCTACCGCATACTGGCATCTCAAAGCTCCACTTCAGTGACTGTGAACTGTAGTACTCTCAGTGAAGTGCTGACATACAACCTCGACACTGCTGGCTCGTGGCAGGAAAATTACACTCCTGACAAAAGCTTCTGTTCAATAACATCTGACACACCCTACTTGTGATGCAGTTTGCACTGGGAACAATGAAGATGGGATTGGAGATCCGTCATGATGATGATCACACCAGTTGAACAGTGACAGTAACACACTATGTTTCAATGTCTTGCCAGAGTTTGAAATCAACTATATACACACTGTATGTGGACTCTGAGGACTTTCAACCAGAGAGCATTTTTGTTGATGACACCAACCTTGCGAATTACACATGGTTGCAGTTACTGCTCCAGTGCTGAATTTGTGGATACATAACAAACATTTCTCTGCTGCCTGGAGAACACCAACTCTATCATGCAGAGTCTCATCGCAATTGGTGTCTGGTATGGTTTCAACCATGCTAACTGTATGGTACCCTGGAGGATTGCAACTAGAGCCAGTTCAGTGTAAGCTCCATATAAACTATGTAACTTCTGGTTACCTTCACTACTAAAACAGGTGGCAAAGACTAAATAATTTATGATTTAACGGAACTAGCAAGCCTTTATGAATTTTCTCTCTTTGGTTTGGTTACAGTGGCAACCATCGTTCTCGCAGTCAGAATTTACAGTGCTTGAAAAAGAAGAGTTGCAAGAGTGGAACTTGTGCGATCGGTGACATTCAAGAGTTGTTTTATTGGA